AGCGGCATGACTAGAGGTTTCCTGCCATATTTGGACCCGCATGTTTACCACATGCTGAAATAACCCCAATCTAATTGTTAACATTTAACAACAGTGTTTAGTACAATATAAGCACGAGAGTGATGATCCTTGATTGATTACTGATCAGTGATGATATGGCCTAGGATGAGAGAGGTTGTCGAACCGATTTCTGTGACGCAAGCTCCACCATTTTTGTTTGCCAGTTTTGAATTCTAGTGTGCCACTTGAATTCTGGGGTGCCATTCAATATATCACTGATCTTGAAAATCATCATCCATTCATAGAAGTTGCTTGCACCATCATTTGTCTACTTTGACCTGTCTCCAATGCATTTGTGGAGCGAATGTTTTCACAAGTCACCTACCGTAAAATGGGGTAACTTTGACCACTTTTTTTTCAAAATGATGCCATTTTTTTACTAGATAAGTTAAACTTAAATTGAAACATGCAAAATACAGGTCTATACTCTAGCTTTACTCACCATAAATTGCTGTCTCCTGCCTCTCATAGTTTTGATGTAATTTAAAAAAAGTGATGGTCTTTGTTGCCCCAGCTCTTGGGGTTTCTTTAACTGGGTGGTAAAATCAATTTTATTTTTTGGTAAAATAACTCCAAATAACTCCAGGTTGTGGTGCATTGTAGTAGAACTCTTCTAGTTACATATGCAAAAGACAAATTTTAGGAAAGTGTCATAGTTTGTAAATGGGGGCGCTGCCCCCAAATGGGCAAAATGTGACCATCTAATGGCAGCCGTGACAGGGTAACATTGACCAGTTTGGAAATTAAGTTAAAATTACCATATATAAGACTCTGTAGAGTCTGAAACATAAAGAAAAAAACATTATTAGGTGTATCAAACATAAAATATGTTATATAGGTACCTATGGTAATTTTAACTTAATTTCCAAGCCAGTCAATGTTACCCCGTCACATCTGCCATTAGGTGGTCCAAGTTACCCCATTGGGGGCGGCGCCCCCCATTTGCAAACTATGACACTTATCTAAAATTTGTCTTTTGCATATGTAACTAGAAGAGTTCTACTACAATGCATCAAAACCTGGAGTTATTTTAACAAAGAAATAAAAAAATTGGAGGGGGTACTCCGACAGGCTTCATATAATAGCTCTTTTTCGTGGGTCACATTTTTAATTTTTTAACCCATTAGATATGCAAACTTATTAAATCTTTCTATTGTGTTACATAGCCTCAGTATTAGGCCTTTGATGGCCATCAACAAAATTTTTCTATGTCAAATCGTTTTTGAGTTTTGGGGGCTTTTGTTGAAAAAACGAAAAGTGGTCAAAGTTACCCCACCGGTCAAAGTAACCCCATTTTACGGTAAATGAAAAACAAGCAACAAAATAAAATTTCAACTAAGGTACTCTAGTCCATTATTCGGACCAAAAGCTTTCTGCTCAGCCGCAACAAGTGATCAAACCCGAAATGTTAGATAAATGCAATATGCAAGCATGTATGAAAATAAGCAAAAAGAAGATGACCTTTTTCTGTGGCTTGCGCCTGTTGAGCAAAGGGGGAGAAGTGCGACACTGTGATAAAAAAGGAAAAAGTGACAATGTATTCAAACACAGGAAAAGAAAAGTATCTAAATGTTCCAAACAGAGGGAAAAATATAACGGGTTCAATTTGGCTAATTATCGTCAAGCTAGATAAATGCAAAGTACATAAGATAATTTTTTTTCTTTTTATAACCAACATTTCTGATGAATAATTTCATTAAATATGGAGGTAATAGTCTGTTCTTGAACAATAGAATTTTTGGTGTATTTCTGGTATTTTGAGCTAGTCAATATGGTATTCTTGCCAAGAAAAATTCTGGCAACACTGCGTAACAGCGCAGTAATGAGTAATGTTCCATGTCTTGAGTTGAGAGCCAGCCTCACCAAAGTTCCTGCTCCTATTTAAGGGGACCGGCTACCCTAAAATTTTCAAATTTGGCATTTTCCGGTTTTTGTGCTCATCTTAAAGCTTACTTTTTGACGCATCGAATGGTACCAGAATCATCTTTCCAGGTGAATTTTTACAAATGCAACGTACCGTCAAACAGGGGGCAGTAGTGAGCAGCCTTCAGTAATCCCTATGGAAGTATTTCGAAGGCGTGACTATAGGGGACTATAAATACGGCCTGCTGTTGCCAAAGCAGTTAGTGCTCATCATGACAGCAAGGTGAGAAGTGTGCAGCCAGTTGCTCTATGCCTTCCTGACTTGGTTTGAGGCTTACTTACGGTATGTTGGCTACATTACGACTCTTTTACATCATTTTTCGTGCTGCCCAGCAGTTTTTTGGGCATGGTGAAAACCTCCGATTGGTCTCACGGCAAACCTATCTTCTCCTACAGTTTTCAAGCTACAGCAATGAGACATATACCATTCGATTCGTAAAGACCATACCTATCGACTCTGTGATCACTTTTTTGAATTTCAGTCTGGTTTGTTTTTTATATGGGGGAGAAGGGGGGGGGAAATGAGAAAAATTGGAAAAACGTGCATAAAAAAACTAAGGAAAAAATGAGAAAAGTGATAGGTATGGTCTTTACGATATGGTCGATAGGTATGGATAGGTATGGTCGATAGGTATGGTCTTTACAAACCGAATGCCGAATGATACGTGTCTCAATGTTGTAGGATGATATTTGTAGGAGGAGATAGATTTTCTAATTTTTCAAAAATTTTCAAAATTTTTTCGAAAAATTCATAACTGCAAAATGTTATTGTTTTTACATTTTACATATGTATGTGAAGTTTCATGATGATCGGATAATAACTGTAGAAGTTTTTCCGGAGGGTAGCCGGTCCCCTTAATATAGAAAAATACATTATATCAAACATAAATTATTTAGTTGCAAAGAAATGAAAACCAGTTCAACTCACCATTGGTTACGGTGCTCGAACAATTCAGAGATGTGTTATATCATGAAGGCAAGCCCACAACAGTGTTAGAGTACACTGCACACCCACACATTAGCAAATCAAGATGTCAACTGCAAGGTTGCTGACTTGCTTAGTTGTCTCATTACTCTTGACTTGCTGTTGGTGAGCCGAAGGGCAGTATTCACACATCGCGTTCATGTCATATTTGCTTCTTGAGTAATACAACGGTTGAGTGGGTCAATGAACATGAACATTGCTCCTCCTGGTCCAGTAGCTTCTGTTCGATCGCGCATCTGGCTTCCATATTTTCTTCTTGGCTTTGAACTTTGTGTGGATTTTGCTTTGCTGATTGCACTGCGGAATTTGACTTGAATTCATTATCAATTTTGTGCATCCTGCGGAATTTGTGTAAATTTTTCGCAGTCTAAGCCCTCTGCAGAATTCATTAACAGGTGTACTAATCCATCTGAAGTCGCATTTTTTCCTCTTGGGTATAGATGTGGCTCAAATGGTACTTATATATTCCAAGCAGGTTTTGCCTATAACTTTTTTTTTTAATTGCAAGTAAATAAGTTTTTTTCTAACAATTTTTCAATTTTGCATGATATTCCAGAAGCCAGACTGGTAACTAAATAGAAAAAATGCAATAACAGACAAATTAAATGCCTGTATCTACTTTGCTATTTGCTGTTTTACTATAAAAATGACCCTTAATTGTGCAGGATGAAAAAATAACAAGTGAATTATATTTGATCTTGGGATGCACTATTGCAGTGATGAAATCCACATATAGTTTGGAGTGACAAGCAAAAAGCAAAACCATTAACTTGTAACAATGTATCACTAATAAAAATCTAGTTATGGCTTGGAGAGCAAATATTTTTCATTCTAGGTTGAATTTTTGACACTATGAATTTTAGATGAGTTGTCAAAAACAAGAAATGTCTCGTAAAAAATATGATATGAGCACCTACTAATCAAACTGAAAATTTCTAACTCATGCTAAAGACTTGTAGCTCCAAACTGCATACCGTTAGTGACAAATTTTTGATAACTTTGAACTTGCAATTGTAATTGCAAGTAATTGAAAAGTAATTGTAATTTGTTAATAATTTGATATAAGATAATTCATCCAGTAGAAATCTTGTAGCTCTGGCTCACAAAATGGCAGTCACCACAGCTGTCACACTTTTGGTGCCTGTCCCAATAGAAATGATCTATTTTATCACATAAACAAAACTGTAATTTTGTATCAAGATTAAAATAACTCCTTTGTTATTATGTGGCCATCAAATTATTGAAACTACAAATTACAGATCAGGATGCAGATTAGCATCAAATTCTATGTCTTCAAAAGAACATGCCAACATGTTTCTCTTTAAATATGCATATATCTCTTTACCGTACATATATTTTTGGCCATGAAATTTTTAAAGGTAAGGTAGTTTTTGCTATAAATCCTCAATAAAACCAGCTACATTAGGGGCAAAACACTGATATGGGCAACACAATTGCCCAATTCTGAATAGTAGATCATAGTTTTGAACAATGTTGAAAAATTCCAACTTGATCATCTGGCTCCAAATTCACAAATTTTTAATAAATTATTAAATCTTGTGGCTTGATCAAGCAATTTTAGTAAAAATTGGATAGGAGATAAATCATTTAGCAAGAATCTTGAGGCTTCAGGAATGGGAGGAAAGTAGATTTATTCTACTTATTCAAATCATTTCTTGGAAAGTAGATTTATTCTAGTTATTCTATCATTTCTTGCAAAGTAGATTTATTCTACTTATTCAATCATTTCTTGCCAAGTTGAGTTATTCCAAACATGTCAAGTATTATCAGGTTTTTATTGATGAGCCCCAAGTCCTGTTGATGCACATATCCTTGACAATATTTTATTAACATTCCCAAATTCCATCGTAAACTCTTGCAGCTTCAAAAAAGCAAGAAAACTCTTATCATCTATTACTGTAAAACATAAGTAAACTGCATCACTTGTGCACAAGTTTCCATTGTAAATTGTGCAACTCTATCTGTTTTCTTTCTGTTATTAATATCATTTCATTGCCTGCTTGTAGATATTGCCAAAAGTTGCTTCAATAGAAACTTAAATGAAATTTATATTCAATTGTCACTTAGAGCTTTTGAACTTCTTCTAAGAATTTATTGAGACTAGAATGCTATAACATCTTTAATATGGCTAGTTTATGTGAAGAAGAGGCCCGTCTGCTGAACGATTCAAAGTATCGCTCATATGTGGCAGTCACTGATAAAGTGCTGAAGGCATTTGAAAATACAAGTGAATGGGCTGACTTAATCTCTACTCTGGCAAAACTCAATAAAGTAAGTTAGATTAAGGTCTGATTTTTTGCACCGTGCATTCACTGGTAAGCACATTTATGGATTTGTTTCTCCAATAACTTTATTCTAAATCATTCCTTTTTCAATAATCTTAAATTTGGTTGATTAATTGCTTATTAATTAGGTACAGAATGTGAATGGTTATGGATGGGCAGCCTAGAATAATATCAATGGGAAGAAATTAGTCTAGTTGAATCTTTTGTCTAGTATTGGTTCCTTAACATGTTGAATTTCTGTGTTAGAAGGGCAGTTCAAAAAATTTGGTGCTGAGTGATATATACCTATATTTATTTCTCATATTCTTGTCAAGCTGTCAGTGTTGCTAAAACATGACCACCATGTCTTATGTTATACTTATACAAAAAAGTTATGGTTTTTGCAAGTCAATGTTCACATGCAGTTTTGCAATTTACTATTGTACATGAAAAACATGGATAACGGAGTGATATTACAGTTCAGTTTAGATTCTTGTCTAATGTACAAATTATTCTTTCATGACATTCTTTATTTAATTTTTTCTTTAAACTATGAAGTAGTAAATATTTTTCTTAGCAAGCAATATCAATTTCCATACAATATTCTACCAGTATCAGCTATGTGTATGTGCAGGTGCTAGTGTCACATAGCAAGTATCCTGTAGTACCGCGCCGAGTCATCATCAGCAAGCGGCTGGCTCAGTGCATGCATCCAGCTTTGCCCTCTGGAGTCCACCTCAAGGCCCTTGAGACTTATGACATCATCTTCAAGAACATTGGCACCAGGAGGCTGGGCCAGGAACTCTTCATCTATAGTGCAGGTTTACTAAAATGACAAACACTGATTAATTTATTTTGCGCATTCCTTGTTGTGTAATGAAGCTTAGAGCTATGAAGTCATAAAAATTTTGCCAACATTTTGGATAATTGAGCTATGAAAGTATTTTATTTCTGTATGAAGATGCTCTGGCACTAGGGATTTGTAAAATTATAATATTAGTTTGTATTCCTATATTATATATAATTTTGTCCTTGCAATGTTATGATGTTGAATTTTTTACATTTTACCTGCTCTGCAACTAAGTTAAATTTTTAATGGAGGTATCACTCATGTCATCTAATGCTATGCAGGACTGTTCCCACTGTTTGTATTTGCCGCCATGAGTGTGAGGTCAGCACTGCTCACCATCTATGAGACACACTTTGTGCCACTTGGCCAGCGGCTGCGACCTGGTCTCAATGGCTTCCTCTCCGGTGTCCTGCCGGGCCTTGAGGAAGGCTCAGATCACCTTGAAAGGTTTCTCTCATTTAGTGTCTGACTAATATTCCTTTTATTATAGCAATTAATGAGTCAATAGTTTCTGCAAGAATTAGGCTCTATATAGCATAGGGTAGTAGGTATAATAGGTATATGCACTAGCAAATATAATTTGGACATGTTAAAAGATTGGGTAGGCTGTTCTTCTTTGAATATTATATACGTTTATGCTCCAACCTTGTAGATAAGTATATATGGGCTTTAGTCGGTTTCATCTTGAAATGGTTTTATTTGCAGTACCTATGCTTCCTCCATGTTGCCCAAGCATGTGATGGTACTGAATGTTCTCATCATCTTAGAACTTTCACCACTCAGCAAGTCACTGGAAATGTGTAATGTTTGCAGAGATCCTTGATCTCTGAAAGCATTACCTTGATCATTAATTGAAATTTGCGTCACCACAGGACTAGTCGACTGCTGCAGCTCATTGCCGAGGGGGTTGGCCATGCTGAATTTTTCGGCAGCTTGTGGGAATGCATTGCAGGCAAGTCTTATTCTTATGATAGTGTCTGTCAGGACAGAATGATCGTCCTGGAGTTGGCTGGAATTACTGGAATTTTGCACCTCACTCATATCCTTAAAGGTAAAATTTGTTTATTATTAGAGAAAACTTCTGGCTTTTTGGTCAAGGTAAATTGTAAAGTCATTGGTGCAAAATATTTCATTGCTGGTGGCTTGAAAAGGAAATTTTCCCTTGACACCTGAATTTTGGTCGCTCTGTTGGCACTGCAATATAATCCTAGTTCTTACAGGAAATGGCAGCAGCCGTCTACCAGCTCTGAACCACATCGTCAGCTGCTACAATAAGAAACTATCAACAGAAGACCAGCTCCACATCCTTGGTACCAACCTTGACACGATGGTAAGCTGAATTGACACATGCAATTAAGTTGAAATTATAGGAATAGTGTTTCAAATGTTCACACATCAATCCAGTTTGCTAATTTACTTAGTTAGAAGATATACTACCTTAAAGTATATAATAATGGAAAATATACTTTATTTGACCTATCAGGTCAAAAAAATGATTTGACCTGATAGATCGACTGTAACTGATGATATATTACATCTCCTGAATTCCACCTTCTGCAATGCATGACTTACCATCTCTCAATAACTAAGAAGCCTTTACTTTGATCTCTGGGACCCAAGACTTCTTCTGAATTAGTTTTTAAACGCCATTATGCTTTTGTTTTTATTCCCATGTAAAGAACAACAGTAAGATTACATCCAAGAAATTCTTGTTAAACCTCAATCAAAGTGAATTTATCAAGGTAAATAAATTGAATTGCCGTGTGTCCCATTGATGCAAGTGAAATTTTTGTATGCTAGGTGTCAGGATTATGCAGCTGCCTGGTGAGTGGCACGGTGCTGGTGCAGAGAGCAGCGTTGGACCTGGCGCTCGTAGCTCTGCCCCTACACAACAGCCGCCTGCTGCTGCCCCACGACAGCGTGAGACTTGTGTCTGCCGCCCTCCTGGCGCTGCTACGACGCGACACATCCCTCAACAGGTCACTTCTGCGACTTGAAATTCTAAAATTGACATATAGCCCAATTTTACTGCTGTCCCTTGTCAATCTGGCGTAATAATAATGATTATAATGAGACGCCAGATTGACACTGGACACTGCGGTATGAAATGACTACTATATGATGGCTTGGTTGAAAATGCCTTAAAAAATGTGTTGAGTAAATGAAACATATTTTGAATGAAAGTTTTGTGCTTGAAAATTCACGAATTCATTAAGCCTATGCAATTAATTCCATAATTAATAAACCTAAATAGCTTATGGCGATGTCTAATGTTTACCGGGGAAGTTATTAAGATGTGTCATTCTTTAGCTCACTAACGTCTCAAAGAGTTTTATTGGCCTACTCTGCATAGTTATTTGCATCTCTTACAAGGTTGCTGGAGGATAGGAAGGATGAAGAGCCAATACAGTTCACATGAAAGGCCCCAAAACGGCTTTTAATTAAATATCCACTATTAAAATCGGTCGGTGTTCGTGCGTCCTGCAGGAGGCTGTTCTCATGGCTGCTGGGGGAGGAGCAGCAGCAGCACGACGGCGCAGCGCCGCGTCTGGAATTACCGAACGGCAGGACGTCGCACAACGACTCGTACTTCACCACCTTCTCCAAGCCCCTCCTCACAGAGGTGCCTCTCGCTAATAACTTATTTAAATAAATTTAACTCTTTTACCCCGGAATTTCTTCTCTTATCTAAATAAATCCAAATGCTCTGTACTGGTATTTCCTTGTCTCTGTAGTTGTTTATATTCTCTCAACTATGGTGAAGATACTGCGCGTAGTTGTATGAACGGGTACATCTTGCGTGTGTCTCAAGCATCCAGCTCTCGTGTCCGTATTAATGGGATACAAGTGTGAACGGTGGACATAGTCCACCATTATCCGTGTTCATTTTTAATCTCGTGTGCATACCGAGAGCCACATCTAGCGTAGCCGCCTTAGTAACATTGATGTTGGACCTTACTTCGGCGGTAGCGACGTGGTACAAGGTCAGGTCTGAGCGGCTGTGAGTCAGGTAGTCAGTCGTGTCCCCCCAGCCCTACAGAGAGGTTCTAGCCTTAAACTTCTACATTTATTAACCAATCTCCCTGAAATTTCACACACGTATGAAAATTAATTCACCTCGCTTCGTTGCTCCACTAGCGATCTTGTCCCCAACGCTAGTTCTTGTGGCTGTGCCTTAAGAATTTCGTCTAGCAGTGTGATGTCTCTCGTGCTTGTTGTACTATTTTATTCAACGTATTACTTTTAAAGTGTTCTTTACTGAAACAAAAGTCGAGTTTTATAAGTGTTAACGGATGTTTTAATCAACGGAATCCCAGTGCAATAAAGTGCAATTCAACTTTTTTGCAAAGTCAGCTTATTTTAACAAGATAGTTGCCGGCGTTTGGCCGTGAGGCTCGAAACATTCTGACAAGATTAAAGGTTGCGGCGAACGTCCGGTGACACATGAAAGTATTATCATGCTTTGTGTCCAGGGTATCCTGTGCTGCTTCAGGGAGAGCAAGGGGCGCGTGCCCCCCGACTTGCGACCGTACAAGCTCCTGGTATGTCTGCTGGACCGTCCGGAGCTGGGCCACGATCTGCTCGATAATGTCCTGCTGGATCTGCTCAGGTTTGCTTTTCAGTCTTCTTCATAATACAATACCTACCAATGTTTTGTTGTTGTGTAAAAAAATTCTGGCTATTTCTGAGTATTTCATAGTTCCGCAAATTATACAGTCTGTGCTGGATTTTTCGATGCGTGAATTGGCTATAAATGACGAATTCATCCACAAGCCTTTCCGTTCTCAGGTGTTTGTATCACTCGTGTGAAGCCCTGAAAAAATCCTCCACAAAACAGCGTGATTTTGACACGGGATTCAGCATGAACTGCGCTGGTAGTTGGTCAGGCAAAGTTCCGCCTTCAGGCGACTACGCTAATACCAGCAGTAATGACTGCAGCAAGGCCCTCAGCGAGCTGAACAAGAGTGCAGGGCTGGTGCTGGGGGCAGTACAGCCGTGGTATCCCTGGCAGCAGCTCCTGATTCACCTGCAGCAGTGTGATGGAGTCTCCACGCATGACCAACACAGCGATACGGCGTCACAGCTCGTCAAGTGCGTTGGTTGTGGTCGAACAACTTTCTCCGAGCTCTGCACTCTCATGGAGCACCTCATGCAAACTCTGCCGCTAGACACGCCCCAGCAAATGGAGGCCGCCAAGCTGATGAACGTTCTTTTTGTTGTCACTGAGTTTATGGCCAAAAGAATGGATGTCCTGTCAGCCAAGGAGATCAACACGGGAGTTACTTTCTGTCATGAGCTCTTGCAGAAGCTGATGACTAGCGTAGCTGTGTCGGGCCCAAGCAGCCCTCACATAGCGTCAGACAACACCTCTTTGTGCGACAGATCAGGAGCGTCCAGCCGACTTGGCTCAATTTCCACATTGGACAATGAACCGACTTCCTCAGTCTCGGGCGGTCTGGAAGAAAATATAAAAGCCTTGCGAGGTGCACCGAACGACGCAATGGATCTTCCCGCTCCTCGTTCACTCTTAAATTACGCTGCAGTATTCGAGCAATTTTTCACGGCCTACGTAACGAAAAGATTGCTTTCTCATGAATGCCCAATAAGCAAGTTTGAAGATGTGTTGTTGCACGAGCAAGATCGCTGCAGCTCCAGCGAGGTGAGGGAGCTGCTGCATGAGTGTCTGGCGTGCTCCCAAGAGACAAGCCAAAAAGAAGTTTCTCCTTCGTCGCAATTGTCCTCAAGACAGACAGGTTCCCATAGCAGTCGAGCTTCTAGCCTGGGCCAAGCCGTCCGCTTGACGGATAATCACTTGGAGGAGTTGCCAACTTTCGACTACGCTTGCGTGGTGCTCATAGACCTCTCCTCCATACCCATTTCTTCCGAAAAAGCACATCAATTGAGCCTCATGAATGGCTTGAAAGAAGTTACTCTGGGACTGGGCATTCCCCGAGGCAAGAGAATGTTCGACTCGCTCGCCGCCGACATGAACTCTGATGCTCCGAGTGAGTCAAGTGAAGTTGCTAACTGCAGTGACGGTGCTGTGCCTGCGTGGCTGGTGGCGTTGTTGGCATGTGGCTGCTGTGGCGACCAGTGCACTGCCCTGCAGCACTCCGCCCTCGCCACACTCTGCGAGCTGGTGATGGTGGCGGCGAGCGAGGTGTCGGTGTGGCGCGTACAATCGCAGCAGACGCAGAGTGCCATCAACATTGTGCCGCGGCTGTTGCCTGAGCACGTGCACGTGCTGCACCACAACACCGGCTTCTACCAACACGTTACACTTGCACTCTGGTCGCAGCTGCGGCAACCGCACAAACCTTCCCAAGTGCGCAGCGTCGAGTTGCTGCTAAGACTGCACTCCATCACCTCCCTAGCCGCCCAGTCTGCCTCTCTACGAAACAACAAGGTAATTGCGACCGACAAACTTTCCCTAAACACAGTAAGAATTTTTTTGCCAGTGAATTCCTGTCGCCAAATTCAAGTTTGAAGATTCAGCAGATAATCCCGCAGAATCAAGATTTACCTGATTTTCTTTCTCATAGTCAGAAGTTGGTACCATTTGCAATAACGAAAATTTCAGAAGCCAGTGCACTTAGCTTGTGAAGAGAAATTCTGATATGCTAGAGTCACGTTGGATCTAATTAATTACTCTAATTGTAATATAACCAAATTATGGCTAAAATATCGCTTCTTTGTCGCACAAAATTTCTCAGGAATAATATAGATGAAGATTTGCCTCTTTATCCGAAAATCGAAAATAATGAAGATTGTGCCGTTAAATTTTATGCTTCTTAGTTATATATAGTGCCAAGGATTACGCCGACTGTGTGTCATGAAATAACTCTGCGTACATCTCTGCAGCTCTCTGGTGCACCAGTAACACCACTTCTAACGCCGCAGGTGGCGGCCACGCGGCGCCCGTCGTCGCCGTCGCTTGTGGAGCGCGAGTTGTTGGCTGCTCTGAGTGCGTCATGCCGTGGCTCTGGGGGCGGTCAGGTGGACCAGGTTAGCGCTGCCGTGAGACCTGCCAAGGAAATGCACCAGCAGGAAGTACGTTCAGGTGTAGAGCTGCAGTATCAGCACGACGATGCCAGTGAGAGGTGGCTTACGCTCTGGCAACTGTCCCGACATTGCTCGTCTGTCTCCTCTGCTCGTGTGGCGCCCCACTCCTTCGATAGGTGGGCAGCAGCTGTGTGCTCGTGTACTATTCAATTCATCATGCTTCATATATTCGATCTTTAGGCCTAGCTCTATGATATTAGCTGTACTCTTCTCACGATATTGTTTAGCAGAGGTCCTATCATCAAAACTTACTAATGAATCATCCACGTAGCGGCAGATTTATCGTCTGTGATTGCTCAGTTTAGCTTGAAAGGACTTCACTGTTTGGTTGACTGAGTTACAAGCTCGGTAAATATTATTAATAGTATGGCCCTTGGACCGGTTCTCGGAGTCACTCTCGTATAACGACCAATGTCCTGATCTTTTGTTCGACATCAGGTTATTCACACACCGAAACCTGCGGCTCACTAAGCCGTTTTGTTTGATAGTCGCTGCTCGCCTGACTATTCTTATTTATTTTGTTTCAACTGTGACAACCATGTTTGTATATTCAAAAGACTTTAAACTCACGAGCCTATTATGTACCATGTAATGCTAACAGGCTCAATTGTTTGCCGGTTTATGCAGGTGTTTGTTTCTGTTGCTGGAATGGCTGCGTGCGCCCGGCAGCCGGCAGCGCACGCTGGCCCAGCAGTGGCTGTGCGCAGGTCTCGGCTGCGGTGACGCGGCACGCATCCTCGACCCTGTGCTGTGCCTGCTGCTTCATCCGCACACCCGGCGCATCAGCGTACAGCATGTTACCGTCACGCCCCTCGGCAGCAACGCGCTGCTGCACACGGTGAGAACCCCAGTACAAATCTGACCCCGCTGTGCGCACTACGCTGCCAAGCAGGGTTGGTGATTTTTTTGATTTAAAAAAAAAAAAATCAAAAAAATAAAAAATCAATGATTTATTTTATTTTTTCATGATTTTTTTGATTTATTTGATTTTTTTTTTATTTTTTCAACTTTTTTGTCTTTTTGAAGTGTTATTTTTTATGTTGCAATTAGCCTACTAACAAGAACAGTATATGGATCATAATGGATGGCTAAGAAGGGCACTTATTGACTCCAATAATGGCCAACAGGCTAAGGTGGTGTTTTCCACTTAGGGATTTTTGGGTAAACAATTATTGATTAGTCTATTCATTAGCTTTGTAAAGTTTGTATGGAGTAAGGTAATGAGCTAAATATTGACCATTTAACTGGCTTCAATATACAAAAACACTTCAGGAATGCAGATCTTCTAAACATTGAAGGGTCACATAACAGATAGGTAGCTGATAGCACAGTGCACAGCACTATCAATAGATCTACTAGTTTTATGTCCCATAAATCTACCAGACTCTACCCTCTATACACACTGACTAGTAGTGACTGAGTGACTGACTGCACTGTTCCCATTTAATTCAGACCAATAAACCAATACTAAACATAAACTGAACGATAACCAAACAAACCTGAAGCGACTTGAAACGAGACTTAAGTTATGAGAAAATCTAACACTGTTTGAAATAAACATGTGCACAATTCAAATATTTTGTATACATTCACTGCATTTAATTATTTTATATATAGTCTTATAATTGTAATTGTTTTGTTTCTAGTATTAAATTCACATATTTAAAGATTGAAATTAAATATTTTAATTAGAATACTCGTATTAGGGTGGAAAATCTTCCTAATTCCTAAAAGGTCAATACAATCTCAACCTCTCAATATACAGGGTGGGGCAGAACCGATTGAGCAGTTTTGAGGTAAAATAAAAGAGTAATGAAGGTACATAAAGAAAAAAGTTCATTTTCCTAGCGGTTAGCATAACATACCATTTAGAATACTTATGTCTTGACAACAATATCTGGAAGATGGGGGCCGTCAGCTGCAACACACTGTTGGAGTCATTCTCAGAGGAGGGTGTAACCGTGACAGTGAATTCAGATCGCTATGCTGCAATGTTGCAAAATTTCTTGCAGCCCATGATGGAAAACATTGTTGAAAATGAAGCATTGGGAGATGTGTGGTTCCAGCAGGATGGGGCTACAGCTCACACAGCCCGAATGTCACTCAATGTTTTGAATCGCATGTTTCCCGTAGGTCTGGTGTCTCTGAGGGGTGATTTACAGTGGCCTGTGAGGTCACCTGATTTGAGCATTCGCGATTTCTTTCTTTGGGGACATCTAAAAGAAGGGGTGTTCAGAAGTCTCCCTCACACCCTACTACAGCTGAGGGAACGGATTACTGCAGCAGAGGTTATGGCCATACCTCGCCATATGTGTGAACGTGCTGTAGAAAACTTCCGAGCACGACTCCAACAGTGTGATGCAGCGAACAAACCCCATCTTCCTGATATTTTTTTCAAAACATAAGTATTTTAAATGGTATGTTATGGTAATCTTGAGGAAAATAAACTTTCTTCTTTATGTACCTCCATTACTCTTTTATTTTGCCTCAAAACTGTTCAATCAGTTCTGCCCCACCCTGTATAAGCTAGCTAACACATTTAAATTGTATATTGTAATCAATATATAACAAATAGTCAAATAGTTAAAGACTACTTATAGCCTTATGAGAATTAGCCAAGCTGCTAGCTACGTACAATGTATTGCACACTTGATGCCTCTGTACCAAAAACATTCAATTTATTGGAACCTAATACACACTAAAGGCAACAAGTTTATATACCAATTTGTCATTCATAGGACGTTTATACTAAACCATGAATAACAATACATCAATATAAATTAATGACTGCCACTCAATATATTTAAATATATGAAAAAATAAAAAAAATCGAAAAAATAAAAAAAATCATGATTTTTTTATAAAAAAATCAAGTGATTTAATCACATGATTTAAGCATTTTGATTTAATCATTGCCAACCCTGCTGCCAAGCTTGTACCACAGCTGTGTTCTGAATCTCTGGAGGCTCTATTTCGAATTCTGGCATGTAAAACTGACTTGGAGACGGCAATCAAGCGTGGCATTGGACGGAGCCCTCGAGAACTATAAGCGTGTTTTTTTATTGTCGGTGTATCGCTCGTTACGGCCATGTCTACGGCAGCAGCGCCACTGCGTGCGTTGATAACGTCTCAAAGTGTGTCACTCTTCGTTACCGGACCAGACTGAGCGTCAATGGAATCCCGCTCTCGGTTACAAATTAAACCTAAATGCACTCAATAATGTGACGTGTGTTCTTAGAATGGTAAAAATCTTCGTTATGATTTTTGTGTCTTCTAACTAAGATTATTCAGATATGTGTGTTGCATCAGTTCTTATTCTACGATAGATACAAATTGAGATCTCCTTTTCGCAGAGCTGTGAGCGCGGCGCGGACGCTAACAACGATAGCGCCTCAGAATCGCTGATCTACGCCATCAGTTCGGTGGGCGGTGACGTGATGTATCACGTCAGCAAGGACGTGCCAAACTCGTTCCAAAGCAAAAAATTCTTTTCTCCTTCAGCCAAGCAGATCCTCGCTCTGACCACTCTGATGAACGACAAGCTTATCACGGAGAACGTCCAGATGCCGGAGTACGAAGTTCCTTATATGGGCAGCAGCGATGACTGCCACATGTCGGTACTCGTGAACCCGTTCTCCCGTCACCCGTGGCTCGAGATGGAGGATATGGCAGACATGAACAAGGCCAGCTTGTCTAGTGCAGCCAGCGAGTCTCCAGCTACCGAGCTGCAGGATGCGGCGGAGACGTCAATGTGCCAGGATTTATCAAACGACGAAGAGCAAACATCACAGGGAGGTATAAGCTGTGAAGAAGGCACTCTAAGCGCTAGAGAAATCGCGGAAAGTGTCTTCAACGAAATATTGGAGCGTGTGTTTGTTGAGTGCTCTCTAGAGCCTATGCCATCCGATGAACCCGAAAGCTCGTCAATTGACAGCATGGAAGCAGAAGAAGCTGGTGCTGCTCCTGCTCTGGGCGGCGCCAACTGCAATTTAACCCCGTCGGACATGACTCTTCACCCTCTGCACTCGCACATGCTGCTCTACACTCAACTCGTGGACAGCGGCCAGTGCCTCTACGGATTAACGTTGCTCAAGAATATCTTGGAGAGCCAAGCCAAGCTAAGTTTGCTTTCGTTTGCCTCAACAGGCATCTCTGTGCAGCAGAGCCACTCGGAGCTGCTGGTGCTGATGGCGCGACACAAGCAGTGTGTCTTAGGCCAAGGATTTGACAGCGGCAACTCAAGTGAACTTCTGGGTCAGTATCGCTCAGTGATGTACCTGCAGGTGCTGATTACCGTCTGCCTTTACTACATCAGGTCCTACTACCCGCAACTGCCGCACTTAAGGCTCAACAATGAGCACCTCCAGGACAACAAGGAGGTTCAGGTTCTTGCTGTTGAAATTCTTGAGTTGGTTTTTTCGAATTTGATCCCGCTTGTTAATGAGTCTCCGCGAGGTCTGGCGCCTTACGTGCAGGACCTCCTGCACAAGTGTAAGGTTCAGAAGTGTGTGCTGTACTGTCTTCTTGCCACCGTGCATGCCATGCGCCTTCCTAGCAGTGTCATCAACAATAAGACCAGCCGTGCGCACGAGGCCAAAACCTTCACGCAGGAACTCCTCGACTACAACTACAAGAGCAACAACGAACTGTCCGCGTCTGCGCATGAAACTTATCTGCTCAATATCATGAACCTAACATTGTCCCTCATTAAGCTAGAGGACGTCTTGAAAGCCGCAAAGGTTGACCCCATGCCAAAAAAAGAAACTTCATCATCCAGGTCCCAATCATTTGCGCAATACCAGCCAGGCCAACCCATACCTACACAGGCGATGTTCTTAAGAGTTGTGTTTTCTGCGCTCGGACAGAAACACACGCGACACTTACACTCGGCTTGGCTGCGGCTGTTTACCTCTACGCTGCCCTACATGGGCAACGCGTTACCCAACAACGCTCTACGCACCTCCTCATTCTTGTGTATTTTGTTGGAAGAACTGCCGCAGTACTACAGTAATCCTGCCTCGTCTTCCATGCGCCCAATTCCTCCGGATTATACACTCACGTTGATCTCAGCCCTCACGACTATCGTTCATTTCTGTCTGCTGGACCAGACTACGCCCACGATGATAAGTGGCGCCCCGTATCTCGGATCTACGCACAAGCCTTCGAATTTCGGGTCATCAAGCAGTTCTACGAGTGCCACTAACGCCCCTGCGAGCTCGCACAGCACGGGCAACATGCTCTTCAATATCCTGAACGTATTTTCTCCCGTGGCTGACGCCCTTGAAGATTCCTTAGACGCTGCTGAGGCCGACCCTCTGAACGCAGCGCGTAAGACGCTATTGTGCCACCTGCCGCGGCTGGTCGCGACGTTGCTGCCGCTGTGGTCGGCCACCACCAGCGAAGTACAGGGCAGCGCACATTGCGATATCGTGAAGCAATACTATGAGATGGAGCTCCAGTGCATTGCTGGGTCCAGAAGCACCGTCATGCAGCACATCATCAACTTCCTATCTCCCATATGTCACCACCACGCCGCTGACTTTCTCGCTGCTGTCAGCATCGTTTGGCAGGTAGTAAGAATACTTGGTTATTGTTGTGCCTTCTAGGCAGTTTTTGCGAGTCTATTTTATAGATAGATAGTTCAAAAAGCCCTGTTTCTGAGCTATGCAGACATCCTTGTCCTTATCTTTTAGCTCTGAGATGCGGTCGCTCACGTAATGTTTGATCAGCGACGGCGAACCGATATTAATCTGGTCTTGTATTTTATCTGTAACCCATTGATAACATTATGCATGCCATTTAATTGTAAGAATTTTTTCAGAGTTTGTCGGATAGCGAGGCTCATGGAGCTCTGGCAGGACGGAAACAATCAGCAGGGGAGGCCACTGAGGCGACTTCGCTGGCTAAAGCTGCGAGCTGCCAGTCTCTGATGCAGACGCCGTCCGATGCCGACGAAGGGCTTCCTCGTCCTCGCTCTTCCACTGCCCCCAAGAAACGCAACAAAATCAAGAACCTCTCATCGAGCAACAGCCTCCAAGATGTCCACAAATTCGGGTTATTTCTGGATGACGGAGGCGTACAGCGGCGAGGAAGCCACCCCACGGAGCTGGACTTTGTCGTGGAGACTGCCACGAAAGCCATAGACATGCCTCACGAAGTCATGCGAAGGCATGTCTATGACGACGAAGGTGATGACGAAGAAGTTGGTGATGCGCTGAGCGTGTCGCTTGTGGATCAGCTGTTGGCGGTGCACCAGGACCGACGGGCGCTGATGCAGATGGTGAGCGCCGTGCGTGTGCTGCCCCTGCACCTCTTCCTGGACACCGTGAAGCAGGTCCTGCGGCAACCCCCCGCTCTGCAGGGGTCCTCCCAGGTGTGTGGGCTCGGCTTTAATTACTTGTGATAAGGCAACTTGAATATCATAGTGTGTGTGCTTATGGTACTTAGATGTCATAGTACTCTGCATTTCTTTCATTACTCGTGATTTCGCTACTTATATATCATGGGGTGTGTGCTCGTGTTTCTTCAAAGTCATGTGATATGCTCATGCTTTTAGGTTTCATTTTATGTCTTCTTGAATTTATAAATTCAAGTTCACTTGAAATTTTGAAACTATTCCGAGACCTGACTTAGCGTGGGAGCAAGTAATATTAGTGACGAAAGTATTCATAATTTGCACACAGAGTGTGGAGGTGGCAGTGCTCGAGGTGCTGCACTGCTTCGCCTGCTGCAGCAGCCCGGAGCAGCTGGGCGCCTCGTGGAAGCCTTTAATTTCGCTCCTGAAGGAGGCGGTGCTGGCGTTGCCACCGGAGGCTCTGCTGCTCCTGCTGCCCATACTGAACAACTTCGTGCAAAGGGCGCCACCCATCACTGAGAAGCGCTTGTTGAAAGAGCTTCAGGTAACGTAGGTGGCGATATCGGTTACTTTGTTTTATTCAGTCTTGATTTAAGGAGAGTGGTGTCATTTCCAACTGCTCGGCTTGTGGTCGTATGAGCCTCTTAATCAACGGTCAAACAACGCCGACAGACGACACTTATGATGAGAATTAAATATCTTCCTGGTTAATTTATTCGACTGGCATCTTAATGAAAGCATTCCTCTTTTAAAAACACCTTATAACGGTCATTCTTGGTGTGGTACCAGCGTCAAAACTACCATGCTGCCATGCTCAAGTTCTATCTAGAGCTACATGACCTATACACATCCTACTAATGAACACTGCGAGACGGCAATAATTTTTAAATATTTGCAATGTAAAATGTGTCCTAATGATGCATAAGTATTAATGTACTAATGTACAATAATATGCAGGACGTATCCGTGCGTCTGGTGGAGAGCGTGAGCAACATCGCGGGGTCGTGTCTCGAGGCGACCGCCTGGCTGCGCCGCAGCCTCACCGTCAAGGCGAGGCGGGACGAGACACAAGGTGAGGGGTGAGGAGGCGTGAGGCGGAGGGCTGGGGGATAAGGGTGAAACATAAGGTAGGGGAGGGCTGGGGGCGGAGGGGTGAGACATAAGGTAGGGGGCTGCTAATGCTTGGGGTTCAGGGAGAGCTTGGGGACGGAGGGGTGAGACATAAGGTCTGCTTGGGCTCAGCTTACAAAGCTATGGGAACTTATTTTTATTCACCGTGAATTAATCATCAACAGAAGGCTTTTATATTCTGCACTTTTACAAACCTAACTTTTTTATTCGGAAAAACTTTGTGTTGGCGAAAGTCGTGATGTAATGTTAATTTGTGCACAGCGTGGCGTGTAAGCGTGCGGGCGCTGGAGCTGCTGGCGTCAGAGGTGGCCGCTCTACTGGACGTCCTCTACACCAGTGACGAGAAGGATAAGGTCCTGCCCTTCCTTACCCAGCTCATGGGGCACGTCACCCCCTACCTCCGTGACCACACGTAAGCACCTCACCCCTTCCTCCGTGACCACACGTAAGCACCTCACCCCTACCTCCGTGACCACACGTAAGCACAGCACCTCACCCCTACCTCCGTGACCACATGTAAGCACCTCACCCCTACCTCCGTGACCACACGTAAGCACGTCACCCCCTACCTCCGTGATCACATGTAAGCACCTCACCCCTACCTCCGTGATCACACGTAAGCACGTCACCACCTACCTCCGTGACCACACGTAAGCACCTCACCCCTACCTCCGTGACCACACGTAAGCACCTCACCCCTACCTCCATGACCACATGTAGGCACCTCACCCCTACCTCCGTGACCACACGTAAACACCTCACCCCTACCTCCGTGACCACACGTAAGCACGTCACCCCCTACCTCCGTGATCACACGTAAGCACGTCACCCCCTACCTTCGTGACCACACGTAAGCACTTCACGTCACCCGACACGAGGATGTAGACTATTCACAGTCTCATTTATCTAAGTGTACAAAGTCTCGCCTCTTCTGCGTGGTTTTCGTTGTGACGCGCCTGAAGTTTCTCGTTGTGTGTTAAACTTTAAATAATTTCATTCGACTTTACCCTAGTCAAGTGCAGTCGATGAGCACAATTCGTCTTTTCAGAAAGTACAACTAATCTGACTGTAAAGATAGTAACTTATCTTAATTTCACTAATTGCCTTGAGTTGCCGCAACAAAGCTAGCTGCTGGAAGCTTCCCTTAGTCAGTGGATCTTTACGTCGCTGAAAAATGTGCAAACTTACGCTTCATCTTCTCGATTGATATTCCCGATGTCTGCAACTAGGAAGATTGGTAAAACTAATTTTACCTGCGCGGAGTTGAAGCGCAATATTTTGGCCGCCTTATTCTCTCTTGCTCGCCTTTGCAGGGCAAACAACGCGCGACCATTCCTGGCGTGCTCGCGTCTGGTGGCGTCTCTGTCAGGTCATCAGTACACGCTGAAGGCGTGGCGCAAGGATGTGCTCGAGCTGCTGCTCGACGTCAACGCCTTCAGGATGTCGCGTGCCGCCCTCTCCTCTTGGAAGACCATCGTTGACAACCTCTTCACCCACGATAAGACCATCTTCAAGGAACTCATTGGTAAGACCATCGCGGATAACCTCTTCTCCTACGATATGGCTATCTCCAAGAAAACTTCTTATGTGCCTGAACGATGAAAAAAAACTTGCATATGAAACTTCACTGCACTCTGCTCACCAGTGTTCTGTGTATGAGCAGTGCGCGTGACGCCGTCGCAGGGCGGCAGCCTGCACCTCTTCACCAGTAGGGAGGCGGAGTACGCGAGCCGCGCTGTCCTTCTCAAGCGCCTCGCCTTCACCATCTTCTGCTCAGAGCCTGACCAGTACAGCAAGTTCTTCCCTGACATTCAAGGTAGACACTCCTCTCACAATAACTCAATCAATATCACGCTCAATATGTCAAAGCCATTGTAGTTTGGAAAATATTCAAACCGAATTTGAGGTGCAGTCACTATATTCTTTACATCTTATATCTTTACAGTCATTCAAATCTTTAAGGAAATGGACTAACCTTCATGCATCCAAGCACTGGATTTTTGTACGAATGCTTTTCCATTCTGTAAAATTGGCTTCTTGTTATTAGCATTTTTATTGTTTTAAGGGCGAGTGATGTGTTACTGTTCCTGATGTGTCACGATGTGTTTACCGTGAGATGGAGGCGCGTTAACATCATATGCATTGCATATAACCCATTCAGAGGCGGGTATTGAAAGCTAAGTTTTCAACAGAGCATTTTTTTCAACAGAACGTGTGACTGAAGTGTCGCGGCTGGGGGAGATGGTGCCAGTGTTGGTGGGGGCGGTGCTGGGGCTGGTGGGTGTGCTGGTGGTCAGGATGGCCCCCAGGGCGATGGTGTCGCTCTGGCCTGTCATCATCACGGAAATGGTGCAGGTGTTCCAGGTGATGGAGCAACAGCTCCAGCTCAACAACCACACCAATTCTGCGTGAGTTGCATTACCGTCTCCTGAACAGTCATAACCATGCACCACCATAAACAACCGAAAAAAGCATAACCAAACACTACCGCAGCAACCATAACCAATCAGCCCTATAAGTATAACCAACGTGCATGAACACCATAAGGACATCACTGAACCTCACATAAACGCGTCAGGGCGCTGCCATAACAAAAATGATTGAACATTACTACAAACAGCTACATCATCACAGCTGTCGCACCGGGGTTGTAATCGAACAAAAGAACCTCCTGCGTAAATGCGCTAGTTTTCTCATTTTACTATTCTTTTTTACATTAGCGGCTTAACATGTGCCGCGACGAATTACAGAAATTGAATCTCGATTCACAAATGGAAGAAACGAAATCGTAGTCTGGCCATTGTCTTTTAACGCTAGCCTAAAATAATAATCGGTCTAGTTTGGTTTCTACCCTGTGCTAGATTTGAAGCTGTATTGACCGGAACACGTAATGAAATGTTTTCGATGTAAACTTGGCGATTCAAAACAGAAATTTACGAAGATCAATTAACACCAAAGGATCGTAAAATGCCTTTTTGTGAACAGGCAACAAGGGAAGCGGTTGCCAGCTATGGACGGACGCTGTAACAACCTACACCAGCCGGCGTGGCTGTCCCTCTACCTGGCCGCCTGCAAGCTACTGGACCTCCTGCTTGCTCTTCCTGTCTCCCTCCTGCCTCAGTTCCAAATGTACAATCATCGTATTATCCAATAAAATATCTGTTTAAAATAACTATTATTGTTATTGTTACAATACGGTCGTTAAAGTACTTTAAAGACACTTTTTGTGACAGTCACTAAAAAACAACAAAGGCCATAAACATTGTTGTTGTCATTGTTCCGTAAAACCCAAGTCCTGCGAATTTTTCAATCAATAATTAGGCATATTACATTGTTGAATTTCTTTTTCAAGCCGCTAAAATGGTGCATTGTACAATTTAAATTAGCAAAAAGTAGGTATGAAATGAAATAATGAATATGATGCAAGAAATAATGAATTTGTAAAACTGAATAGTTTGAAACCTAAGGTCTCTTGTGCTGATGCATTCGATTCGATTTGCTTGCTGTTGGAAAACCGTTGCTTCTTCTTCTCATATTTTAAAATTTTTACGAACAGAAACGTATAATGCACACAATTAGTTTACAATTGTGAGATTGTTTTGTATATAATTACTCACGTTGTTCCTTCCGCCAGTTGAGATTTGTAACGAGCACAGTACCTGTACAAGAATAATGAAGATTGTTCCTGTACCACCGTTGAGTTATTAACAAAATAAGATGATTCTATGTTCAAGTCCAATTTAAGATTGGCCTCCTCCATTGAAGATTGTCCCGCCCGTGCTGCAACTCTAGGATAGCGCATAAAGCTTGTCATTTTTTGGGCAGATGCCTGTCCATCTCTAGACTGTGATTGGTTGTGATGTCATCCTCTCCAGACTGTGATTGGTTGTGATGTCATCCTCTCCAGACAGTGATTGATTGTGATGTCATCCTCTCCAGACTGTGATTGGTTGGTGGGATTGTGATGCCATCCTCTCCAGACAGTGATTGGTTGTGATGTCATCCTCTCCAGGCAGTGATTGGTTGTGATGTCATCCTCTCCAGACAGTGATTGGTTGTGAAGTCATCCTCTCCAGACTGTGATTGGTTGTGATATCATTCTCTCCAGACTGTGATTGGTTGGTGGGATTGTGATGCCATCCTCTCCAGACTGTGATTGGTTGTGGGATTGTGATGCCATCCTCTCCAGACTGTGATTGAACATGTCCAATATGCCATGTTTACTGGTCATTTTAATACCCTTCTTAAATTCCAGTCTGGTGCTGCCCTCTAAATAAGATTCTTCCGCCTGCATTCAAGCTTGCGCAGGCCCTACTTTACAGATTTATCTAATAGTTATCTGATTGTTTAAAATTCTTATCACCCGCCAGGTATCGCTGGGCATTCGTGGGCACGAGCGAGGGCAGCGCAGGTAGCTGCGGTGACGTGGCCGTAACCGCCGCCCCGGCGCCGCTCGACGGCCCCAACGCCGGCGCTGACTTCGTGCCTCACGTACGCCGCATCGCCCGCCTCATGGCGCTCAGAGTAAGAGCCTCATAACTTTTTTTTTAGCAAGAGCCTCATAACTCTTTTTTTAGCGAGAGCCTCATAACTCTGTTTGAGCTAGAGCCTCATAACTCTTTTTGAGCAAGAGCCTCGTAACTCTTTTTGAGCAAGAGCCTCATAACTCTTTTTGAGCGAGAGCCTCATAACTCTGTTTGAGCTAGAGCTTCATAACTCTCATTGAACAAGAGCCTCATAACTCTCTTTGAGCAAGAGCCTCATAACTCTTTTTGAGCAAGAGCCTCGTAACTCTTTTTGGTAAGAGCCTTACAACACCGTAAGCTCGAGTTACGTGACAACGCTCATATAAATAAGTCCGGCCTATCATCATATGTTATCCTATCGCCATATTGTCATATCATCATATCGCCTGCCTGATGTTGTGCTACGGTTGCAGCGCCAGAGCGAGGCGGGCAGTGAGCAGCGCAGCGCCCCAGTGAGCCTGGACGTGCGGTCGGGCCACCTCCTGCTGGGGAGCGTCGCGTCCATAGCCTCCTTGCAAGACCTCGAGCCTTTCTTCCAGCGCCTCGCCAACAGCGCCTGCGAGCTGCACTGCTTTTCTACCCAGTTGGTTAACCGAATCTTGACGAATATTAATTTGGTGGAAGAGTTGTTACTCATGCATGCAGATTAATAATAAGTGTAATATCCGCCAGGATGGAATTCTTGGTAATGTTAGTTCATGTATTCGAGATTTAACCAGCCTGGTAACTTGTTCAGTATAGAAATATCACATGAATAGTATAAGGTGAAGTATAGTTATAGCGTTCTTGTTCCAAGCTGATGAGTATATCTGTTAATCTATTACCCATCCTGGATTCCACCATGACTGTACATGTACTGTTGCCATGATGCATCCTGTTTGCGTCAAAACCTCTTAATGATTTAATAATTTTGACTCGTAATTCTGAGTTGTTCCCAACAACCTGTTGTGTCCAGCAGCTTCTTGTTCCTAACAACCTGTTGTCCGGCAGCTTCTTGTTCCTAACAACCTATTGTGTCCAACAGCTTCTTGTTCCTAACAACCTGTTGTGTCCAGCAGCTTCTTGTTCCTAACACCCTGTTGTGTCCACCAGCTCATCGTATGGCGCGACTCAGACTCAGGGTCTGGATCACATCGAGCGCCAACTCGAGGCGAGCTTTGTCGAGCCTTTGTTGGAAAATTTATGAACCGCGGCTGACGCTCCCGACACTCGCCTGGCTGTGACACGTGCACTCATTACCCTCTGAGTCACCTCTTGTAACTGTTGTGTTATTCTTCCCTGTTTGAGTGGAACATTCATCTTGTGACCTCTCGACACTCGCCTGACTATCATCCGTGCTCGTGTACTTCATGTGTCGCCATCTGTATTTCGGTGTTTTTTTTAACTTTGAGTGAAGCATTGGTTTTTTAACTCGATTGTTAGCAGTGATCTGCTGCTGACGCCGCGAGTCTAACACTGAAATTTTTCCCCATCATAACATTCCCGCTAATTTAATGTGGACAGCGTTTAAAATTGATGCTGTTGTTCTTAGCTCCCATCTTCCTTAGCAAACGTGATTAGTTAGAAAGTTGTAATGGCAATTTCTTCTTAATCAATTAGTTGATTTGCCTTACCCTGAATTTGCGTCCATGGTTTATGGGTTCATGTCCACTTGCTCATGGAACGGAAAATCACAGCCTAAATGATCTCACCTTTCTGCTGCTATATCTGTACCTATGGACGTTTCCTGCAGAATATTTCACACTTATATTTTGAATCTATATCTAAATTCATTGGTTCTAGTCATGAATGAGATTTCTACGCATATAGTTAGGCATAGTTGTGTTTTTCAATTCACGGCAAAAAAATTGAATATACTGCTTTGTCGCACGTTAATAACTCTAACTGTGAGTTTATTAGTTTAGCCCCTGCGCACGGTTATCATCCAAAGTTAAAACTGGAGACATTTTTTGTTGTCCCTACACATCATGGTTTTATTTTTAGCCCGTCTACGTTTTGTAAGTTATCACAGATGTTCACTGGATTCTATTACTTTTATTTCTTTGAAATATGAAAACTTGAGCAATGGTAATGAATGTGAAGTGTCTTAGTTGAGACTTGATACATTTGCATTTATTGTTACCTAAACTTTAAATTGATTATCGAGCTCTTTGCCTCGTCAGTATCACTACACCGCATGAAAAGCGGGACAATTGAGATCTGTTTTATTTGTATTGATGCTTCAACGGCGATGAATGAGTTTACTGTCTTCATTTGGGTTGCTGTTAAGTGTGTGTGTGACTGGAAACTAGGGCGACGTGTATTGCTCTGCTGCTGTGATATCGGGGCACTTTTAGAAGACAGTTCTAGAGTTATTTTATAATCGCGGAAGTTGTGTTTTTGGCTTTGTATGCAGAATCTATTGTTGTGGGAGTGTTCATATTGTTTCGTTTTCTGTATATACCTCATTTATTCGCTAAGATCGCCCTTCCTGTTCTTTCAGCTTTGCAGCTAGTGGCCAGGCTCATTCTTGTTTTCAATGCATCTTGATACTGAAAGCCAAAGACTATTTCTGTGTACTTTGTCTGGAGTTCATGGCGTCGAACTAAAGTTCTAAAAGTAAACTAAATACTTTATAATTCCATGATCGTTTGAAAACGTGCATTTTGGGGTAACTCCTGTGTAAAAAATTTGAGCTTTTGACGACTAAATACAAAGTTCAATTTTGTAATTAACATGGGGAAAATCTACATTCCTGCACCACCAATCACTCCGGATACCATTCTTTTTCTCTTTGTTCTTGCAGGTGACTGCTTACTTGCGTCCCTGAAAACATCGCATTATGTTTGTATAATTTATGTACTCTAGATTCTACTAGAGCTCTATGTGCCCATGCATGTGCAGAAGCTTTTTAAGGCTTTAAGTATTGAACCATGTTGCCACGCAGTCGTTTTTATGAGAGTCACCGGCGATTTTTAATCAATCAGCTTGTGTATCATGGGAGTTTGAGAGCATAGTTGCCAGATTGTTGAGAGATTTTCGCCACGAGCGACAACCCGAGTACGTAGCGGTCCGATGCAAGATGGGCTTTATTTTCACTTTCGTGGTCAGGTGATGTATTTTCATGGTGCCCATAATGTCTCTAGTTAGCTGAATTCATTGAGCTGTCAGCTATGTCGAGTTGTAACATTGGCTACTCTTCCACAGCTATAATACTGAAATATTAACGCGATTTTACGTAGCTTAAGTTCTATCGATCAAATATCGTGTTGGCGTATTTTATCTAAAAATGGGTTCATTAAATAGAACACTTGAGCCGAATAATAATCACAACGTTTCAACGATGATCTGATGCGTGGATTGTACGACGCTTACTTGGGTAGATGACTAGAGACGTCATGACGAACGCTTCATGACTTCTAAATTATTGTCATTCCGATGAAGTATTTAAACCAAATGTGTAGTTGTAAAAATAAGCTTCTCTAGCCTTCGGTTTTGATCCGTATTTGGTGTTGTTTAAGCCACTATATAATATCGCCATCGGTTATCGGTACAAAGTCCTGTCATCACTTATACTAAACCGTTAGGCAAGGTTAATAAAAATAGCGCAGTTCTAAATCGGGACTATAATTTCCTGATGCCTCCATCCCTGGTTCGTGCTTAAATAATTGCGTGGAATTGTATTTTATGATTACTGAACATACTTTGTATTTTGAGCATATATATCAAAACGGGAAGCTCTGCTGTTAGTTTTATTCAACTGAACCCTCATTACTCGAGCCAAATAAATGAATGATCGCGGCGGTAAAAAAAAGCCTCTATTAAGCCTTAAGTCGTGAGTACTAGGATCGCCAAACTAGTTTACAACTTGCCACAACCACTGCTTGAAATTTTTATTCATAATTGTAGAATGTTAGCAGAATGTTAGCACCTATGTACCGATATTTATTATACTTGAACAAAAAAGCACGATGTGTTATTAATATTAGTGACATTTGGTTTTCCAAAAATTGAAAATTAGTATATTTATGCTGATAGTGTTGAGCATTATTAAATGTTACATACGCTATTAATATACAGTACAACATTTATATTAATTTCGCAAAATTTTACTATAAATTCAATATTTTATGCAGTTCTTGTAGCTTAAGGTCACAATTCAAATCACACCGGAAGGAAAATATCATTTAGTATTGCGTTAATTATAAATCATTGATCCCTACCCTACCCTGTCAGACTTTTGTATTCAAGCTGTATAGAATTGTATTATACATTTGTTTATTAAAAAATTAAAAATATTTTAAAATCTATGTTACATGGTTTGATTTGGTTCTCTTAGGATAGGTTACTACCGTGCTTGAATTAGTATACATACTCTGTTATGTATGGCAACATAACAGCGGCAATTGCATGGAGCATTCGTCGGCACTTCAGTCACAAATTTATGGCGCTTCTCCTAGAAGCGAGGAGCCTCAGGAGGAGGGGTGGAACAAATAACAGACTCTTCAAAAAGCGGATCTGAGGAAGACTCAAAAATTTATGGCTCATTGGGATTAAAATTTGGGATGTCCGTTTTGTTAGCCGAGTGTTCAAATTTAGGACTTAGGGCGTCCGTGAAGGCGCTTCACGAGTTTTTACTTGGCAGGGTTGTTGCTAGAACAGGACGCAACGCCGCAGGGAGTCTAGGGCTCTAGGCCTCTAGAGAGGATTTTGCCCGATTTGGTAGCAATGGTAGGAGTAGGACTGTAGGACCGTAGGGGGGCGGTAGGGCTAATATATAAATATGTGCATGATGTGGCCCAGTGATTAAAGTTCAGAGTACCAACATAACAACATTGGCGCATCGAGGTGCGGCTTCGATCCCAGCTCTGTGCGCCAGTTTCTGGTCTGAATCGGCGAGGAGGCCGTGCGGTTAAGGGGAGCGTCTACCCTAAAATTGAAAATTTTCACTTTTTCGGTTTTTATACTCATTTTAAAGCTGACATTCTGCCCTATCCAACGGTACCACTGCCATATCTGTACGTTGATTAATGATTTCACGACATTTCATGAAAGGGGGGCGGGTGGGGGAGTTCTACTATTTTTTGATTTGACATATGTGTACCAAGTTTCAAAGTGATCCGTCTGTAAATAGCCGAGATAATTTTTGGGGTAGACGCTCCCCTTAAGCACAGCAGAATTGTAGCAGTGAGTTGCAAGTTCGAGACCGCAAAATGCTGTGAATGTTCTGCGATGTTGAGAATCGGTGGCGACAGGCCTATGATGAGTATAGGCGCCATGGCCCATAGGCCATAGTGACAAACCAGAGATTTTTTAGAATCAGTTAATTTTTAATTTCTCATTTACTCAAGCTTTGAACCAATTTTTTATGTATGATAATGCTGGTAGTGGTATCCATGATACTTTGCTTGTCTACTTATAGGACTCAAAAATGAACTTGAGGCAAAGTTGAGGGAGAGTCTAAAAAACTCTCTGCTTTGCTACTATGCCTATGGCCTAATAAACGCTGAAACTGCTATTATTATTAGCTATGTGCACTAGAGTGACTAGACTACTAGTACTAGTCAGCATAGTAACAAACCAGAAATTTTTTAGAATCAGTTCATTTCTAATTTCCTCATTTATCCAAGATTTAAACCAATTTCTTATGTATGATGATGCTGGTATCCAGGATACTTTACTGGTCTACTTATACTTATAGGACTCAAAAATGAACTTGAGGGAGAGTCTAAAAAACTCTCTGCTTTGCCACTATGCTGAGTAGTCAGTAGTCAGTGGCACTCAGTGGATCAGTGCAAAGTTTGTAGACTCAGCAGTGAGCAGTCAGCAGTGCACATTATCATGCAGCAGAGTTTGAATCACTAACGAGGGGAACTATGGAAACTGGAACAGCCTCGGTGTGAGACGGTGTCCCTGATCATCTGATGACATCGTTGGCAACTTGGCAGTGCCAACTTACCAAGTGTCAGGCTCAGTTGCTAAAGTAGGGCATTCCAGCTCAAGGTAGGGTAAACACACCATATTCTGACTGTCTGACACCCATGGTGCCAATCCATAGGTTATTCAAAAGAACCTGTTCTTATGTCATTTTGAACCGATCAACACTTCTTTATGGACCGATCGTAAAACACACCTTCAC